ATTTTTACATTTTAGCCTACAGCTTTCACTCAAAAGGTGTTAACTAAACAGAAGGCCTGTATGTTATGCATTTGATACAATTCTAAAGGCTCAGCCAATAATTTGCTTCCCCTGAGTTCAGAACAGACTAGTTTTCAGACTAAGATGCAACTGAGAGAAACAATCAACTCTGTTTTCCATTGAAAGGTTACAATTGTTTAACTGTTTGAACCAATAGTAGTGACTTTAAAACTACAGTAAAAGACAACAGCTGCTGAAACAGTTACAATGACTAAGTTTTTAAAAGTTTTATATTAAAAATTGGTTACTGGCATCAGTATCAGACACAACAAAGTGTTAAAATCAACAGTTAAACAAACAGTTAAATATTTGCACAGTAAACACATCTGGTTTTTGACTTGCTTATTCAAGATGATTTCACATTTTGGTTCAGAAGACATATTTCAGATCCTGTCCTGCTGCAATGTGACGTGCCATCCGCAGAGTTTTATTTGTTTACTGAAATTACAGAATTACCAAAATTTCAGCCACAAACTGTTTTGGCCAAAAGAGAAAAAGGGTAAAATGTAAAATTTCAAAATCTAACACAAACAATCTTAATGGCAAAGAAAATGACGTGTTTTAATGTGTTTTAAAACACTGCTTGTTTACTTTGCTCTCTGCTCGTCAGCGCAGACACATTCAAACAGTTTGAGCAGCAGCAGATCAACCATGAAACATGAACACAGACATGGTCTTCTGCAGTCTTTTAGGGTGCCTTCACACCTAACTTCTTTGGTCTGGATCTTTGGATTTTTCTGTTTGGTCCGAACTAAAAAAAGAAGGTGTGAAAGAAGGTGCCTCAGACCACGGTCCAGACCAAAGGACCAAAATTTGGTCCAACCAAATGAGATGTTTTCGGTCCAGATCAAACTGAAACTCAATTACAGGAAGTTGCACATGGGGGGGGGGTGGATTAAATATTTAATTGTAATTTGGTCTGACAAATAAGTAAAAGTCAACTTGAAAAAAATGTATAAAAGGCAGAAACCTCTACCTTATTTTTGGAGTGGATGAAAGAGAAAATATTCATTTTCTCTGTTCAAACGGAAAAGGCTACCCGCTGAATTGACAGCACATCATTGTCAGACGCATGCTTCTTTACAAACCAATCAATGTCATGTATGGGGAGATGCAGCCCACACAGCCGATGCCAACAGGACCGGTCCTTTACTGTGCTAGCAAAATTGCAATGTGAAACCAAAACTAACCAGATCACATGTATATAGTGTAACAAAAATATGAACCTTGGTTTGGACCTTGGTCTGGACTTTCAGACGTGAAGTCTTACATTTTCATTATTTTACAACAATTAATAATTAACTATTTAGCAAGTTAAAAAATTAAATTAGTACTCTAGTTCCCTTTCCTTGACATGGCAATTATCGCATTTGAAACATAATCAGTATTATAACATTAATTCAAAAGCATAAACAAAACTGCAAATTATATATAATAGAACCCTTATTTAGAGCCCTTTTGTTTTTCTGGGGGGTTAGAACAGGCAAAAAAAAAGACTCAGTAGTGCCACATTTAAAAAATACTCTCTAAACTATGAATACATTCATTTTTATGTCACATACTGCACTAACTCCAATTAAACCTGCTTAGTCAAGCTATATTTGTAATGAAATATGCAGTTGATTAGGGTTTAAGTACTAATGATGTCCTTTTCTTAGAACATACTGTGGATATTATGATATAATTTGATGAGATTTTGCACAATAACGATAAACACTGCCACTTATTCTACATGCCGCAGAATTCCTCACGTTGCTGCTGTTACCAGTCACACAATCAGTACTGACAAGTTATCAAGCTCCACTGACGGTCATAAATATCCATGCCACCATATTTCACAGATGAGGTAGTATATTTGGCACCTATAGCAAAGTATCGAACACCACTGATTTTGAAGCCGCAGTAAAAGTCTCTTACTTCAGTTTCAGTTTTTTAAAAGGGTTTTACAAAGAAATCTCCTTGTATGCACTCAATAAATAAAATTTAAAATACTTTAAATTAGGGTCATGCATTCCGACCAGATCATGAACGAGTATCCGGTTAACCAGAGAGAAGAAGGAAAACATCAAAAAAGGACAAAACAGACTTCAGCCAACACTTCTGTTAAAACATAAAATTGCCTTTTCACTGAACTGTTAGCATGCTTATTTTCTCCAGCTACCAATTATGAAGCACAACAAACACCCAAATAATGATTTCAGCATTTGAATACTGGAACTTTGAACGGCTCACAGAGTGAACAAGTACCTGTTCACATCCCCAGTTCAAATGTATGCGTAGTTCACTTTTGAAGAGTAAAAATCTAAAGGTTCGTATAGGGCTGGGCGATAAAACGATAATTACTGCGATATAACTTCTCCTCGATAGAGCGATAAGAAATGTTTGATAAATATTCTATATAATACACCATTCCCACACTTCCACGTTTTAGCAACAGCCCTGGTTTTCTACTGCAAGGAAAGTGACACTACTCTGGTGTTGCCAGGAGAGGGCGCACTTCCGAGCTTTAGCAACGTCTGAAACGTGGAGTTATACATTCCCTGTTTGAGTGGAGCGACCGGTGATCTGTTCTCCTGTGACCAAGTGTGAGTGACGAGATAAGTGGCGTAACTGTACTGTCCTACAGCGAACTTACCTCTTTCCGTACATCCTAACAAGCTTTAGCAGCGTTAAATCACGTCTGCTCCTCACAACTAAAGTGCTGTTACAGCGCTCAAAAAGTCATATTTTAGTATTAGTGCATTCCCAAGCAATGAAAGTGAAAGAAAGAAGTGGGGTCATGCAAGTTACGACCCTGATTTAAACGAAAGTAAACAGAGGAAGCTATGAGGCATTGGAGAGCAGGAGAATGCTATCTTTCCAGGCTAGCTGTTTTCAGCGCTCCGTCACTCGCACAACACGGCGAATTGATGATACTGTAGATCAAACAAAACACAAAAGCACTTTTTTCAGTTTAAACATATCTAAAAGGAGGACTCTGTTTGTCTGGTGTGAGAGATTCACACTGCAGTTAATGCTTTTACACAGCGAGCGTCAGATATATTGCAGTTCACCCCTTAAACTACTACAATAGAAAAGAGAAATCCAGCCGTCTACTAGCTGGTGTCTGAATACTGTGATATGCTCTGATATGGATGCAGTAGGAGTGATGGCAGTAAGGCGGTGTGATCCATCACTGACCTACCGAGCCAGCTAATGTTGGCTGTTCGTACTAAGTTGACGTTGTTGAGAAACTAAACAATTTAGCACTGTTGTTGGCCACTTGTTTAGCATTTGTAACGGAATAGCCTAGCACTCGTCACCATACAGCTAAAACAAATCTATCTTCTTTCTTAAATGATGACTTTTACAAAAATTGCGGCCATGCTTTTCCAGCTGGTAAAAACAGTTCACTGGAAACTTTTTCCCACTGTCCCATGACAGATTTGTGAAATGTTCCACTGTTTGGCAAGTGTTTATCATGTTCCGACCATGAAGTATATATTAAAACAACAATTAACCACCCAGGAGCAAAAAATCAGCCTTCAAACCTGAAAGAAATAATTTGACATTTATCGCGATATGAATCGATATCGAACTATATGAATTTTGTTTATCATGATAACATTTTTGGCCATATCGCCCAGCTCTAGGTTCATATAAAAAACTGTATCAATTAGATCTAAAATGCTTTGGCTGTATCATTGTAGGCTTTGCAACAGGCGTTTGGAAGCAGTGAAATTTTAAAAATAAGGGTGCCAAAAAAGGCTTTTGCTGCTGCTTTTCTTTTCATTAAATCCATTGCTACAGCCCAAGCATCTCAAACTCTAATCTTCAAAGGCCACAGTAGTGCATAGTTTATCACTTTTCCATGTCCTAACATAATTTGATCAGCAGGTTTAATCAGGTGTATTTCTTATCTTGTGTGAGGGAAAACAACTCTGCAATGTTTTAGCCCACCAAGACCCTAACCCTAACCCACCACCAGCAACAGAACCATTATATTTTGCATGCAAAGCAAATATAAATAATCTGTACAGCAAAAAAAAAAAATGTAGACAGACACTGTTCACATCCCAGAACAGCTTGGGGAATACAGCCCAAATCACACTAAAAGTGCTAATACAGAATCAGCTATCCCAACTTTATACTTTAAAAGTAGAAACCTACAAATCAGGATTTGTCATTTAGCCAGCTAACTTTAGTTCATGAGCTAACCCTGGATTATCGGTCTCACAACAGTGCATCACTTTTTAACAGACTACCTCACCACAGCAATATATGTGCATGCCTAATCTGCATCAGGACAGGCTGAGTTTGGCATTGTGGATCATCAACGGCTCCTCATCACGCAGGGCCGAGCTTCTGACCTGATAGCCTTCAGAGAGAGGTGGGCCCCTCTGGTCCTTTTTCGGGTCTTTTATTTTTTTGTTTTGTTTGCGACATCAATCATGTGAAATACATAGCGTTTTTCAGCTGAAGAACCAAATTATACTTCATATAAATCAAGAATATGAAGCAGTAAGCACTAAAGAGGTGGCGGTGGCGACTGTTGCTCTTGGCCATTATTGAGCATTATTAAGCATTAAATACTTCGCATTATACATATTGACGTAATATGACTTCTTTTTCTTCCTTTTAAGAATAAGCAAATCCACCCCTCCTCATGTTTCACACGATTGACTGTTCATCATAAGTGTCATGCTTTTGTATGCACACACATGAGGATCGACCGTAACCTGGGTGTCTAACCTGGGTTAACAGAGGAAGCTGTAAACCACCATTGTAAAACAAGTTAACCACAGTTATATTTTTTAGGCTTTATGAAGCTGAAAATTAGTCAGGAACCTTGTCTAAAAGAGAACATGCTCCATGAGACAAGGCAGTGGTCTTCACTTATTGAAACAGGTTTTAGCATTGAACACTCACTTGGCAGGAGACAAAGTTTCAGGATAGCTTACCTTCATCTCTGTTCACAACAATCCTGGATGGACCGTTGTTTCAAATCTGCGGCTTTAAGAAAAAAAAAATACAATAAAAATGACTTAGCTCTTCAATCTCCTAAAATAATAATAATAATAATAATAATAATAATAACAACAACAACAACAACAGCAATCGGGTTTTTTTTCCTGACAGAAGCATCCTTTGTGTTAATTGAGAGAATACAAATGTCAAAGAGAGAGAACAGCATGCGGTGCATTTCATTCACAGGAAACAACAGTAAACGGACGTGAACGAAGCAACGAGTGCATGAACTAAGCCTTCTGTAAGCAGTTACTGCTGCTCACGGTGGCACTGCAAGTCATGTGTTTTGGGTTGAGGCACACAGTGGAGGCTGTGTAGCCCATTTTCAACACTTATTTTTGTTTTGGTTGGGAGAAAGTTGGCTGTAGGCCATTCTGTACTTAGGCTATGCAGCACCGCGTGGGTTTAAACCGAGGTTAAGGTCGGCGTGTATTGTTTCAACCCTATAAATCGAAATCGGTTTCGTAAGCAAAGCCCACCCACCAGAAGACCCCTTGGACGTATTGATGGTCCGAACCGAACGATTCAGGCCTGAACGTTCCGGGCGGTTTACGGGCGATCAGGGTAACCTTCCATAATGATCTCGTATTGCTTCAATCACACGAAGATTTTTCCAGCAGCAAGCGGTCACCTTGCACAGCCTACTCGAAAACGGACTGTTAAATGTCGGTGTTTACGTTGTGTTCGTGGCTGAAGAAGTCTTTAAATGTGATCCCCAAATCAAAAACTCTTATAGGGCATACATCGGACCGATAGAACATTTCACTCGTCGAGAGAAAACTACAGTAGCCTGTACCGGGGAGCAAGTTAGCGTAATGTCTGCTGCGCTACAGCAGTCGATGACGCCATTTCTTTGCCACACAGCAGACAGTTAAGCAGTCCAACAGGGGAAACGGCGAAATAAACGCACGGAGTCGAATAATCGCCCTGACACTCTCATATCTACAACTGCGACGATTTAGACGTGGCGGCGTGCCTTTCAGAGTACGAAACGGTGTTTCCCGTCCTGTATTATTGTGAGCCATGTTCGATCTGTTCACTTTCAGCACGACACCGAGTTTTCCGAAGCCCAGTCCACATCTATGAGCACAGAGAGAACGTCTGAACCCAGAGATTTTCATTAAAGCCGCAGGAACCACAAACAGTAGCCAACATGACTGCATAAACATACTGAATAGTTAACGATTAATCCACAAAGAACTGACAGAAAGGAGCCCTCGGTGTCTCAATGGAGGCGAGCTACAAAATGCTGATGGCTGTGTATAATAAGCTCGCACAATGAACATGTTAAAGCCTCTTGGAGCAAGGTCAAGCCAAACAACGCCAATAAAACTTATTTAAAGACGTCTATTCCCAGCTTCATGCCATGTTATTCTTACAAAATGGGGTAAATATGACAGTTAGCTCGTAAATACACTTTCATATGGGCTCCGTCGCTTTCCGATACGGCAACAATGTCACCCTCAGACAATAACTCTCCTTTTTAGTCTACATTCGTCTGGTGTAGACACTGAAATATCACTGATCAAGACTAAGAAAAACCCCCACTGACCAACAGAGTGACAGTAGCCCACTACTGGACTACTGTGCTTTGGCAACTATCGACGGTAGATGTGACAAGCTATTCAAAAACACTACAGCCCATCTCGCCAGCCATTTCTGCTCTATGTGAGACTGTCGCTCGGAACACGAAGGTGGAGGACCCGAAGTAAACATGAAAATTTCCAGAAAGCAAGGCGACACAGAACCGTTCAAACTCGACACAGTAACAATGTAGATTATGATTTGTGAAATCAGAGTAAGGATAGAAAAAGAGTTCACTATGGCACCCACAAGATTGCAACCTTTACTAGATCGATGTCTGCATACAAGCAATTCCCATTTCATCGACAAGTCCAACTCCAGATTTGAACACTGTATTTTCTTTCGACCAAAAAGACGTTTCAAGTCGATGTACAGCACAAAGCCTTACGTAAGGGCTATCCAGCGAGGCAGTGCTTTCCCCGATCAGTTATTTGATGCCGAGTAGCAGCATTAAGGGTTCAAGTAATTTTATGAATTCCAACACAACATCTGCTGCTGATACCGAGTTGCACCGAAATATATAAGTTTCAGAATCATGTTATGCCTACACATATACTGAACTGGCAAAGTAAGGCATAAAGTAGCCCACTATTTCGATGCTATTTACCTGACAAAACCCCATTGCCTCACAGTACGACACGCAAGGTTAGCAAGCCCTCCGGTCGACCAGTCTACGTGTAAGAGTTGAGAGCTCTTGCCTTTAAATTTTATCAGCCAATGGCTCAAAGATTGCTCTGAACAGCTTAGAAAAGAGACAGTTTAATCTAATATGGATTCTCGAGAAAGCACAACCCGTGGTTTCTTAATGTCAAATAATATACTTAAAGAGTTTTCTTAGTGATCTTACCTGACGAATGCAAATAGACGACTCCCTTGTTTTAATATGACACAAATCTGCTTTAATCCATTAGAAAACAGAAGACAGTCCTCGACGATGAAACGCTCAAAGGCTGCCCGAAAACCTGGGATCTGTGTCGGGAAGCGAATCCGACGAAATGTCTCACCAGTCGGGCTCTTTTTCTCTGTGGCGATCCTCTACCCTTCTGTAATTGACTGACAGGTACACAAACCCACCCCTGTGGCTGACACTATCATTCATTGGTTCTTATGTATGAATGTACCCGCCCTCTGGATTTTATTGGACAACACATTCTCGGAAAAAATGGCATTTGTTTCGTCCCGAAACAAAATGAACAGAAGTAGGGAAGTGTAGTTTTAAAGAAGACACTGACGTTCGCGGTAGCATCCATGTTGTTTGCGTACGTAGATTATATGAACTACATTACCCACAAGGCCGAGTGAGCTGGAAAAACTGGCGTCTGTCTCCACCCATTCTAGCGCGCTTACTTTCCAGGCGCCATGGCGCATTTATACACTGCGAAGAGGAGAATTCGCAGCTGAGTAACATCGGTCGACTGTATCATTGCGGTTTCACTATGAAGCCCAGTTTTTGATGATAATATGGTTGATCAAAGTGAGAAGGATCTTTGGAGTCATTGTGATCAACTTATCAGTGATTCTTGATTACTAGCGAAAATAGACTATCGTCTTTGGCTAACCTGCTAGCGTTATAGCAAGGGGAAAAAATCGATAGTGGAAGTACCCGGATTTAGAAGGTGGGTGGCGCATGTGGTTACATCATTACACCTGAAAAAGAAAAAGAGCTTGCTTTTGTGCTGCATTTCCAGCGACAATAACTGTGCAACATCGCCTAGCTCAGTTTCATTTTTTATTTCATTTGGATTAATTCTTCGTTTGTGTGGTGAAAGCTTACAGCCGCGAAGCGTTCTCGACTACCTCGGAATATGGTAGGAAGAGATCGTCGTGGTAGGATGCACTTTGTAATTTTAAACGTTTGCACGTGACCTGTCAAATCCCTTTGGTGATTTTTGTGATTTAGGTCCAGCTATTTCTCATGGGTTGTTTCCGCCGGTCTTTGAGCCTTTGCTTATATGAGGGGTGGGGGCAGTGCTCTATGTCTGAAGCGCTGTAACTACTGACCATGTTTATCAGAGCTATGAGAAGTGAATTGAATTGTGAATCGTTGCCTTATTGATGGGTATGTTAAAAAGCAAAGGAGCTGCAATATGCGCAGTATTTTTAATTGCCTGTCTACATAAAGGTATTTGGGGCAACTGTTTTTTTCCAGGAATATTTTTTTCAGCAGGGCCAAACATAATTCATTGGAGTTTGTCTTTAGTAGGGCTCAAACACCCAACCTGCCACACTCTACTGATCATGCTAAAAGTGGGGTCTCATTTAGAGCAGCTTACAAAAGTGTTTTGTTGCCCACTTAGAGAACGTGTCCTAGGTGGTGCAAAAAGATTGAAGTCAAAGCTACTCTTGAGTCATTGCTAGAATTGAGAGCCAGTCCTGTTACCTAAAAAGAAAGGTACAAAATACAGAATAAAGACATAGCATAGGTGCAGATTCATGTTCGTTGAAGTGCTTCACAAAGTGTCAGCATTTAAATATGGTGAAGGACTCTGCTGTTTGGAGAACCAGTGGAAGTTCGTTACACCAACTGGATGCCAGAACAGCGAAGAGTATTGTTGCTCATCTTCTATGCATGTTGAAGCTCTGAGGGCACAAATTTGCTTTGTGCTTTGACCACTGCTATCTGGTAGAGAGTCTCATCTGTTTTTGGCTTTGTGTATGAGCATCAGTGCTTTGAATCTGATGCGGGTAGGTACGGAAAGCCAGTGAGGGAGTGCGGCAGTGGAGTGACATGAGCAAACTTAGATGGGATGAAGAAAGCCGCGCTATTCCATTCGAGATGAATTGTAAGGGACTGAAGGCCTACATAGGAAGAATTGCAGTAGTTAGGACTTGATGGCAAGAAACGAAACAAGCACCTTTGTGGCATCCCTATAGAAAAAAAAAACACATGACTGAGTGAGGTTTGCAATATGAGCTGAGAACAACAGCTGGTCATCCAGTTGTCGATAGCCAATCATTTTAAGGAAACGACAACCAATTCTTAGATTCATTATGATTTTAGATTTGCATTGTCTTTAAGTTTATCTGTCTTTTTTATATAAAGGTTAGCAGCAACAAAAACAAATACTGCTGGCTATATTGCATACAGCATGACGTGAAGAATAAAAACAACAAATAAGTTTATTTATTTATTTTTTGGTTTTAACCTAATTTGGGATTTTTTTTTAGATGACAAAACCTATTCGTGAAATTGGACAAATAGAAGTGAAAAAATATATAGGCCAGGGCTGCATGTGAGGACGTTTTATTTGGCCTTCTAGAAGGTTATCTTAAACCATACCCTTCATCCAATGTGAGAAAAAACATTTTTATACCATAGCTCTTATTTTCCTTCTTATTTATTATTCTATTTATTTTATAATTTTAAAACAGAATAGTAATGTAATGTTATAAAATGCATTTATAAGCTTGATATAAAATCTTTCTTTTTTATTGTGTGTATACTGTTCAGGGCTAGTCCGAATAATTATATACTTGAGTGATCACTGACAACTAGTTGCATGTTTTGACTAGCATGCAGCATAATTTCCATGCGACTTGACAGTTACACTAAGCAGTTCAAAATACTGACAATTGCACGACACATTGTTACTTCAGTAGTTAGTAGTGCATAAGTTTTGACACACTGTATCATTCTTGCTGTAAGTCACCCACGAAACAAAGTGTAATTTACATATTTGTAGTATTTTTATCATCTTCATATAATTTTAATTGCTGTTCTTTTTTCTGTATCTAAATGTCTGCCTTTTATCTATCTGTCTAGGGTTCTTCCTTTATATATTATACATACATTGCTATATGAAGAGTTTTTTCTTTTTTAATTTGTAGCATGTATAAACCATGTATTAAAACTTGGGACAATTGAAACTGGGCTCGACAGAGTCTCGAATGAGTTTCAGGATGCTTTACGTTACTAAAGTGTAATTTAGTTTCATGTAGGTTTCAAGCAACTAAAGTTGCATGAAAGTTTCACTGTGTAAAGCCAGCCTAAAAAGCATCTCTAACTTTATTAATTCATCGTTCAGTTCATGTGGTACACTGTTGCATGTTGTGTGCATCATAGACATATTTAATATCGCTGTTATCAGAAGAAAACTTCGTATCTCCAAAATTGTAACTTCACAGGAGAAGGAAAAAGTATACTTTTATTTTTAATGAAAGTCAATGGAAGCAGACTTTTTTCCACGTCATTTTGAGTCATTTCTTTTAGTCCATTCACAATGAAATTTACAGACAATGTAAAGGGTAACAGGTATTTTTAAATTTTGTCAAAAACTGAAAAAACGTGAAAAATGGAGATACAAGGTTTTCTTCCGACACCAGCGATATATTAGGAGGAATAGATTTTACAGGGCTAAACGCCTTACTTATGTGTCATGGCAGTATTAGTGTGTGTGTGTGTGTGTGTGTATGTGTGTCCGTGCATGTGTGTGTGTGTGTGTGAAGAGTGAGAACACAGCATGAGGTTTCATGTCTGAGGGGGTATTGAGCTGTAAAAAGTTTGGGACGCTGGCCTTTGGCAGTGGTGGACGAAGTACACAAATCATATACTTGAGTTAAAGTAGAGATACCCAACGTAAAATATTACTCCAGTAAAAGTAGAAGTCCTGCCTTTAGACCTCCACTTGAGTAAAAGTACAAAAATATTTGCCTTCAAATGTACTTAAGTATCGAAAGTAAAAGTACTAAAAGATTAATTATGGCTCTAACGTCCTATTATTATTTTTGTAACAAGACTCTTGATTCATTAACTCACTTTAGGTGAAAATACTCCAATCTCACTCTTGGTAAACCAATCTTTTAATAGAATGTCATTAATTGATGCTGATGTCTATTAAAATTATCATAAGCACAAAACACTGAAGGCAAACAATTTCCGTTAGGTAGAACCAAGTGGCTATGAAATAACTTTCAAAGAAGAACAAGCAAAGTTTCAGTTTAAGATTTATGTGCAACTTAGTTACAAGTTTAATAAAAACTTTAAACACAGTATCACAAATGTGTTTCCTTTACTATATTGCATCTGTAGGTCTCTGTTCATAAACATAAACTAACCAAACAAATTTACTATAAAATGAAATAGTGTTATAAATTCAGAAAAAAGACACATGCCATTTACAACTGCATATGTGTACATATTTCTATATTGTGGTCTATTTACCTAAAGTTAGGTTAATTCCATCATTTGTGTTGGCATAGACACTCCCAAAATTATACAGTGTTGCACTGTTGTTGAACCACATGCTTACACTGGGTCGGTATGTCCAACAGGTCAAAACAAGCTCAAAACTAAGTGCTGCACCCTGATTGGTGTTCTTGCTTCACGCTTCTTTCGTTTCGGCATTACGTTTTTATGCACACATAAGACAAAAGGAATGACAGATTTCAAATAATGTAGTGGAGTAAAAAGTAAGATATTTGACTTTGAAATATAGTGCCCAAAATGGAAATACTTCGGTAAAGTATAGATACACGAAAAAACTACTTAAGTACAGTAACGAATTACATTTAAAATAAAGTCAGCACTTACTGTATAAATGTTATTTGTATTTGCTGTTATGCTACTATATTTCTGCAAATAAATGCTTACTGACCAGATAAATAGCCCTTTATTTTCAGTTTTCTGGTTTTCTGTTTTTTCAGGTGCTGAAAACTTTTTTGCACAGTGCTCTAAATGTAAAAAAGTTACGCTGCTATGTTTTATTAAAAAAAAAAAACACTGACTAGTGTACGCTTATCAGAATGCATGTACTCAATGTGGTTAAAACTACTAGAAACAGAACCTGCTTGATATTAGCTTGTTCTTTTCGCTTCACTTTATGTAACTATTTAGCTGTTCGCTTGGATATATAAAAAAACTATGAAATGAATGTCTGCATTACACAGACACAACCTTTTATTTTTTTGTGCAGCATACTGCAGTAAGCTTTTTTGTGCAAGGAGTGATTTAAAAAATATGCAAGAGCACAGAAAAATGTACAAGCACAAACGGGACATCCCTATGTAAAGTCATCTTTACTGGCACTCAAATTATTTTAATTATAATTAAGTTTTATTCATGAAACAACATTTCCCTAGAATCTTAAGTCTATGGTGGCTTAACTATACAATACTAAGGACCAGCTGTTATTCTCAACACTGCAGTGTAATAGTGAATCCATTCACATTGATGGTTAACCAAGAGATATTCACCCAGTTTATGAGAATGCTGCCCACTGTCCAGCCTACTGTGCTGCTCACCTTTGGTTAAAGTCAACTTGTTAGTTCATGTCCCTCGTCATAGTGTGGATGATTCATCATAATATATCATTTAAAGGACATAACTCTTGTTTCTCTGTAATATTCCATCAAAATGCAATTACTTGTGCACTATAAAAACATCTTATTAACTTAAACAAAAGAAACAGAAATTGATACTTCTGTTGGAGTTTCTTTATTAGAATACCTGAGTGCTGTTGATTGTAATCAATGTTTTTGAGAAATATATTGCTTTTGGTTTAGGTATGGATTTACAGTCTGGTCCTCAATATTTTGACATCAACAAAGCTATTGTTATTTTAGCTGTCTACCACAGCATACTGAAGTTGAAATGAATGAGTATAAACCAAAAGGGCAG